AACTACATTAAGGACATGGGTCTGGTGGGACCTCCAATTCCAGTGCTCAGAAGGCAGGGACAGGAAGAACGTTGTGATTTTGAAGCCAGCCTGTTGTACATAGCAAGCTCCAGTCAAGTCAGGGCTACACAGTAAAACCCTAGTTGATAAAGTTAAAATAAACCTGCCCTGAAATTGTAACTCACCCAAGTCAGAGTGGCTATTACCCAAAAGACAAAAAATAACAAATCCTGGTGACAACATGGAGAAAAGGAGTCTTTCTGGGCATTTGGGGGATTGACATTGGTATAGCTACTGTTGAAGTATGAGGTTCCTAAAAAGACAACTGTCAGATAACCCAGTTTGTGGTCATTTACCCAAAGAAAAAGAAATCAATCAGCCGAAAACACACACACACACACACACACACACACACACACACACCCCAAAAGGTAGTAGACGGGTGGGCCACACAGCAATTACTGAAATGCTGCTCCCAACAGAGTGCCAAATCCCTCAGTCTTATCAAGAAATAAATGCATGAATAAAACACAGTATATGTATGCTTTGCAGCATTATTTAGCCTTAAATAAAATGATGCCAGCTGTAGGTAGCAGGCAAACCTAACAACCGTCACGGTGAATGAAATCAATCAGAGTCAGAGGCATAGGCATTACATAGGTTTTCTCTCACATGCAGAAAACAAAACACAAACAAACAAACAAAAAACCAAAACCAAAACAAAAGTGACAATGACCTGAAGGCAAAAGAATTCGAAAGACGGGAGGGGAAGGGAAAGAGAGTGTGAAGGGAGAACAGTCGTGGGCAATGCACAAAACACATACATATGAAAAGTACCAGAAGCCTAAGAATGTGTACAGCTAATGTACATTAATAATCATAACTTTAAAATGCACTGGGCAAAAGTGTGGCAACGAAGCCAGTGGGTAAAGGTGATGTCGAAGTGAGAATCAAGACTCAAGTCAAATTCTGGAGGTGAATGGGGTAAGGAGAGACTGGGGTGACAGGCCTACCAGCAGGAGCAGTGGCTGCCAGTCTATACAAACAGGTCATCACTCAGGCTCCAGGGACACCGGAACAAAGACTCCTGCCCCAAATGCAGTAGACAGCAGACCTGGTTCCCGAGAGATAGAGGGCACAAAGAGGAACCTATACAAAGTGTCATGTGGGCATCCTTTTAAAAAACCAGCTTTCCCTTTAGCCTACAGCCTGGCCCACTACCACCAAGTTCTGAGCTCACATATAAGCTCTTGCCACTCCTCAGTGCGCTATTCTGAGACAGGAGCAGTGAAAATCATCACCATTCATTTGAAAACCTGTAACAGGAAAAACACGGACCAAAGCAAACAGCAGAACTGAGCCCATAAAATAAGACAATATAAAGCCCCCCTTTAATTTAAAGCAAATTAAAACTAATTTGTCTTTTAAAGAGAGAAATGTGTACCATACCTGTGAAATAAAATTAGCACTCTCAGAAAGAAACACTAGGAACATCAAAAGCTCCCCAAACTACAGCTATGACAGCAGGTTTATTTTCCCACTCAGGCATAAGGGCTAGAAGTCAAAGACCTTGCCCAGAAAAGAGAGTGACAGGAAATAAACAGAAAAGTTACAAAAGTCCACAGGATAAAGCAGATGGAAAGAAAGAACAACAACTAAAAGGCAATGGAGATGAACAATATAGCCTATGGAACAAAGAAGCCACACCAGGGCATCCATTGCCAAACTCAGAATGAGAGAGAGAAAGAGAAGATCCTTAAAGCTCAGAAGAATAAAGAACCAGAAGTCAGAACAACACCTGCCATCTCAGCAGCAGAAACAAGATAGCAGGAAATGGAGCAATTCACGTCAGCTTTCCAAGAGAAAACACCCAAAACGGATGTCCGCTATGGCACATGCTTCCCGGTGGCTGCCAGAAGTCTTGTTCAAAGAGCAGCATCCTCCTCTCATAGCAGTCTGTTCAGAAAGGGGATGGGGACTATAAACGTTGAAAGAACTGAATAGTTATTAAGTAGGCAGAGAAAAACATTTACTTAGTGTAAGACTTGAAAAGAATAACGCAGTACCAACTCGGCATCCATGAATGTTTGCTATCACAAGCAGCACAGCTCAAGTACAACATTCAGAAACAGGATTCTGTGTCCACAGTAAGAAACCAAACAGAATAACAAAACAGTGAGAAGAAAATGTGCGGGGATACTGGTGGCATGCAGCCACTTCAGAGCAAACTGCTTCTAGAGCACGGTCTCTGGGTTCCCTCCTACTCCAGATTACACTGTGCCTGCCGGAGGAAAAAAGGTCAAAAGCAAGTTCAAATGGTGGAAATGGAGCCTGCATGTCTCAATTCACAGACAACCATCTATAGAAAATTACTTTGAAACTAACAGAAAAAAAGAAAAAGCAAGTATTTACTTTCCACTACCCAGGTTCAACCCACTAATGCTAAATCTATCTTGGGCACTTAGAGGACAAAGTTCCCAGGGTGACTATAGCCTAAGACTTAAAATAAGTACAACTCGCCAATATGGGGTCCATGTCACTAGACCTACTTCTGATAGACACTACAAAATAAGAGCCCAAGTAAGAACCATCTTCCATACATGCACTATTTGGGTTCTTTACTACTAGAGAGACAAACTTTCCCACAATCGTTATGCTAATGACAACAATGTGCTATCCCAAGACCATGCTCATTTCAGAACCAGCTTTACTCTTTGTGATATGGCCATCCTAATGGGATAGAGGTTAATCACCAACCACAGCACTCCATCAATCTCAGTCTTCAACATTCACTCAAAGAGAATGAGATCAGGGGCTGGGAGTGCAGGTAGTGGTAGAGTGCTTGCCCAGTGTGCATGCAGAAGTCCTAGGTTTAACCCTTAGCAGAAGAGTAAGGAAGGCAAGAAGAGTGGTTGGAGGGAGACAGGAAATTACATCTTATCTCACCACATGTATTGCAACATTACAGAACTAGGATATACAGTAAACCTAAATACCATCAACAGACAATGGATAAAGACAACATGATGCATTTTATAAACATGTGTTACATCAGTATTTTGACTTAACTTCTATTGCAATGGAGTACTATTCAAACACAGCAAAGGATGAGTACCAACATTTGTGACAGGATAAAGGCAGCTAGAGGACACTGTTCTATGATATAAACAAGCCAGGCACAGAAGACACAGCACACAATCGCTTGTGGAATTGTTAAGTATCTCACAGAAGTTGAGAGTAAAGTAGTAATTATTGGAGACTGAGGAGACTATGGGGAAGGCTGGCTAACAGCTACAATGGCAGGAGGACAAAGTTTTGGTTTAAGGCAGTGGCTATGACCTGACCATTACCATTTATACACAAACCAAAAAACCCACATCACACTGTAGTTCATAATATGTATGACTACTATGTGTCTATCAAAGCTACAGATAGAAACTAGACAAAATAGCAACTTAGTCAAGGACACTGAAACGGACTACAAGCCTGAGCAATGGGAAGCTCCTCACGTCCCATTGCTTTCCCCACTCACTTACCTCTCCTCCCTCCTCGTCCAGCCGTTATGAGATGAAAGCACATTTCAGAACTTTCCCTAGACATTCGGAAATCCACTGAGGTCCACCATACGTAGGACTGGAGCAGCAAAGTCATCGCTCCAAAGACCACAGAGGTGCTTACAACCTCTCTTTTCCCTAAGACAGGGTAGTACTATGCAGCCCTGGCTGGCCTAGAACTCACAGATCCAGCTACCTCTGCCTCCTGAATGCTGCAATTAAAGTGTACACCTCCATACCTTGCTAAGCTGGTGCTTAGAATCTTAACTCACCAAAGCTGCCTCAGTGTAGACGCTATTGTATTTTAATAAATAAAGCTGGCCTGAAGATCAGAGAGTAAAACAGCCCTACTGGTCAGCCTCACAGACCAGGCAGTGGTGACACACATCTTTAATCCCAGTAGCCACACTAGTTGCCATAGAAACCAGGCGGTGCATGCCTTTAATTCCAGCCCTAGAGAGGAATATAATACAGGAGGAAACAGCTCACATACAGTCTCATTCGGAGATTCCTGGAGGCAGGATTGCCATTTTTGAATTGAGGTAACGGTAAGAAGAGTTAGTGGCTGGCTGCTTCGTTGCTATAGGAACACTCCACTCCTTCAGCATTTAAGATACAGTGCTGTAGGAGCTCCTTCTGCTCCTTCAGCCAATAGCCTTTAAGATACCAGCCCACTTGGGCATGGTCTTATACTATCAATACAGCTGTAAAGCCTGTGGTCGGCTCTTGCTTCAGGCTCTCACTTCCAGCTGCTAGACTCTGTTCCTATTTTCCACTCCTGCAGAGAACTCTTATCTAGGACAGTGATCTGTAAGTCTCCCCTAAATAAATAACTCTTTATTATTCATCTGAACGAGTGTGAGATTATTCTTATTTTGTAATTTCTGCCATCACTTTGTTTTACTAACCTTCAGGATGAACCCCAATTTCTGTCTCTGAGTTTTTATTAATCAAGTTTCAGGCTATCCACCATTGCTCCTCAAGGTCCTGACACCACACGTTACAAACTACATCCCATCACAGTCATTTCTGTGGACCAAATTTTGAACTGTCATCATCATCTGGATTTCCACTTTCCAAGATGCAGAAATGATAGGTTTAAGATAGGAATGATTCAAACCCCCTTCCACACTACTTTTATGACTCCACTTGGCCCCTGAGTTCTATCAACAGGGTTATGATAGCAATAACAGGTAACTTCCATATAGAATATCATTATGAAACTAAAGAATTCAAACCTTTAGTTAGGTTGTGGGAAAACAGGAGTTGTAACAGGATCTGAAAGAATTTTTAATTCTACAGGGTGTTCTTTCTCCATCTCAGTATTTTAACAGCCTGTTAGATTTTAAGTGTCCGATGTAGTGACTATCCCCATGCAGTCCTACCTGTCTGTCGCATTTTAATCAAGTGTCTGATGCAGTGATTCCCTGCCATGCAGAGTCTTACCTGTCTGGCTTTGGGGTTCTTCCCAGCAGAACTGTTCTCATTTGTACCATCCATTCCTCGAAGAACACTGATGAAATCCTTCTTGGAAACAGTTGACATCAACTTAGCTTGCTTCCTGATGGAGCCTCCTGCTTCCTTAACCTTTTCACCAACATTCTTTTGGTGTTTCTGAACAGCATTGAATAACTGCACCACACCCCTGGAATGCAAAATATCAGAGCAATGTAACACAGACAAGCATAGCAGAATACCGTCTTACTATGACAGTCTAGGAAAAGGCAAGCGCTCTCAGGAAGCAAATATTCTAATTTACTCTCGAAAGCTAACGCTGAGCTGAGCTGAACTGACTCATTGGTCTGCTTGGTCAACAACGCAGTCTTTCATGTAGGAAGCTGGCTTTACTTCTACTTTAAAGCACATTGAATCCACAAGTGAATGGTCTTAATATGTCAATAAGCTGAATTTTCACATAGTTATTTTAAAATAACAATGGTTAAGAAGCTATTGAAAACTGAGGTTTTTTTTTTTTTTTTTTTTTTTTCAAACCAAAAGAGCAGTGTCCCAATTTCCAGGGATCCTCACAGGCTGGGAATAACAGATAAGTCAAGGCAGACTCTGCACCTCACTGTGTAACCCCACAGACCAGAAAATGACCAGAGTAACCCATCAACTAGAAGTTGACTATCACTCCACTAAACAGAACCGCTATGTTTTCTAAGGAGCAATTCAGTGCTGCCTCCTGTGAAGCCGTCCCCAATTCTCCAACTCCCACGGTTGCCACTATAGCAGAAAACATCCCATTCTCCAAAGACACGTGATCACACCTACGACAACATCTCCTCTTCAGCTCTAGATATGCAAAGTGGCAAATGCTTGGTGCTCATGCTGGGATGAGGGATTAGAGGGGAAAGGCAAAGGTAAAACTGGCGTGTGTGGCACATCATCCTGCTCATACAATGTAAGAAAACAAACCCAGCACGATGCATTCAGACAAGCACTAGAGAAAGACACAACCAGTGGCCTGAAAACACAATCCCCACAACTATAACAATGATGACCTGCGCAGATGCAGACCAAATACACACTTAGCATACTACAGTTCTGCCTCATGACACCTCCAATGTCTTTGGTGAAATTTAGTGTCCAAGAGCAGCCTTGGATGAGCGTCACTTGGCTCAGGGAAGGCAGAGCTTGGGGATCAGTCTAAAAGGTGGATCACTAGCAGAGCTTTTGCTTTCGTGGAGCTGTTTTAAAGGCAGAAGCACTGTCTTACCTCGTTGCAATCCTCTGAAGGTTCCTCTCTGTCTCTTTGTCTTGGACAACATCTGGCTTCACTCTGCACAGCATCTCCCACTCCCGCTTCTTATCAAGCTGTGTTATAAATGTGAAAGGCTATTAGGCATTTTTGAAAGAGCAGGCAACTTTGATGTGCCGTTCTGTGAAAGGAGAAAGGTAATCGACCACCCAACTCTGTGTGTTGTGTTTTTCACCAGTTTTAGGGGCTCAGCTCCGACAACCTGTGGTCAGCACTCAGCATGTCATGTGAGAAGCAGTCTTTAAGAGGACCCCTGGAGTCAGGCTCTGGAGAACTGCCAACACATACAGCCAGGCAGTGCAAGGCAGGGTGAGCCAGCCACCCTGATGCCACAGCCCATCATCAGTGGGATGCACAAAACCACACTGCCCACTCCGGTAAGGACAAGAAGCTTCCTGTTCCCTTTAGAGTGGACTCACCAACTAGATATTCACATGTTGTCTCACGATTGTCTCTTTCTCTTTGTATAAAAAGCACTTAAATCTTTTTCTCCTCGCCAGGCACATCCAACAATGCTCTCATCACATACAGTCATTTAGTCCCAAACTCAAAGGAGCTCATTTCCTACCACCATGCAAATACAGAGGGGAGCTGGAGAAAGGAAGCTCCACAGACAGCCCTCAGGCTAGGGTAAAATGGCCTCTGAGCAACGTCCTGGTCCCGCATGCCTGATTTGACAGACTGACTGTTCAGGTCTGTTTCCCAAGATGATATATACTGACCAGATGAACTACTCGCCTGGGGACCACTAAGCATCTACACTGAGAACAGTGGAAAATTCTGGCTTTTTTCTACCCCCCCCCCTCTTCTTCTGAAGTAAGCACATGGCTAAGGCCAGGTGATGGTGACACATATTTTTTAATCCCAGTACTCAGGAGGCAGGGACAGGCAGATCTCTATGAGTTCAAGGATAGCCTATCTACAAGGTGAGCCTCAGAAAAACAACACAAAAAAACAATAACAGAACTTGGCTGCTAACACTCCAGATCTGACAACACAGACTGGCCCAGCTCCTTTAGAACACGGCTAACACTCCAGATCTGACAGCACAGACTAGCCCAGCTCCTTCAGAACACGGCTAACACTCCAGATCTGACAGCACAGACTAGCCCAGCTCCTTTAGAACACGGCTAACACTCCAGATCTGACAGCACAGACTAGCCCAGCTCCTTTAGAACACGGCTAACACTCCAGATCTGACAGCACAGACTAGCCCAGCTTCTTTAGAACATGGCTAACACTCCAGATCTGACAGCACAGACTAGCCCAGCTCCTTTAGAACACGGCTAACACTCCAGATCTGACAGCACAGACTAGCCCAGCTCCTTCAGAACACGGCTGACACTCCAGATCTGACAACACATTAGAAAAGGCATTCTTCCCGTGGTGCATTTCAAAGTTAGCAGGCTCATTACCACACTAAGTGAGAGGCAAAACCTTAGCAAGTCACAGGACATTGCTACCTGACTTCTCCAGGGGGACAGTCCCACCACTGCTGCCACAGCAAGTGTGTTTCCATGCACTCCGTGCCCAGCACATCCCCAGCACTCAGAGCTGACCTATGCGCTCCCCTTGGCTTGAAATTCTTGCCCTCCCTGGAATCTGGAGACTAGAGGTAATTACATTTGTAAAACCACTTCCAACCTTTGCCAGTTAATAAACAAATATCCAAATTTCAATGGAGAAGCTTTCTTAAGGTTTAGAGACAAAGCTTCTCTTCAGTACAAAGGATTCTCAGTAAGAGCACAGTTGTCTGTCGAGAGCAAGGCCACAAGAGTCCAGCTTTTAAGTGGAGTAACCTACAGGAACAAGGGAGTGCCAGACAAAAAAACGTTAACTCATGCCTCCTTCTTTCATCTGTATGGAAACTACTCTTGAAAAGTACTCCCATACTTCAGTACAAATATGGAAAGGTTTTTCTTCATTCAAAACTACTTATTTTTATAACCAAATATTTTTGACATACTGATACTTCTAGTACAAAGAACACGAAAACCTCACCATAGCTTCTTTTATACTGTATAACAGCTAACTTATACACAAATTTAGGTTTTTAGTCAAGCTTAGACTAACTTTATTAGCAGTGATTGACTAGAGCAAGAATTCAGTTTGTCAGCAGAAAACCATTTCGGAAGTACACAGAACTAAGTACTCAGATTTACACAGTAGAGCTTGCTCCATGGCCCACACAAGACTGTGTTTCTGCCCTAACCCTGTTTACCCACCCCACTCAAGAAGCCCTTAAAGCTGAATGCTTCTGGGACAGACTCCAAAGCCAGCACAGACAAGCAGGTGGACAGACCTGCTTCCTTTTCTCCAACCTCTCCTGCTTTAGCTTCTCCTTCTCCTTCTCCAGCTCTTTGTTTTTGGTGAGGATGGTGGGTTTACTTTTAGGAGTCTTTTTGTTAAGGATTTTGGCCATGGCATCTGCCCAGCCAGAATTAGTCCCAGCACTTGGCTCTGCAGCATCTTCATTTTCCTCCTCACAGGACTCCACATTGTCCTCGCTGTCGGCTTCTGCAGCGCCATCATCTGAGGACTGGCCCATTTCTGCGTCACAGCTTTCTACTGAACCTAAGAGTAAAAGGAAGTTGAGCTTTAGTGCCCTGGGCGGAGCACTGGCAGGTCCTCTGAAGGTCCGTGTCTGCAGCTCTATGAGGAGCACCAGGATCCCCCAGGCTGCTAACAGCAGCAGACAGCAGCCCACAGCACTGACAGGGAGGTCAGAGTGCCTTCAGGAGCAGGTGGCGGAGACAAATTCAACAGTTGCTCACTTCGCACCAGTGGGGAAGGTGGGAGACCAGGAGGTCCAATGCCGAGTGCTCTCAAGACAGAACCCAGCTGAGCTCTACACTATTGAAGAGACTAACAAAAGTTATTTTTAAGAACTGAAATATTAGTTGGGCAGTGGTGGTGCATGCCTCTAATCCCAGTTGCAGGTGGATCTCTGAGTTTCAAGGCCAGTCTGGTCTACAGAACAAGTTCCAGGACAGCACACATCCTGTCTCAAAAAAAGGGGGCAAGATTAAGAAAAAAAGAGAAAACAACTAAAATATTAATTCGTTAAGAAAAACATTTTAGTGCAGATTCCATTTTTCTAAAAAATTTGCCACACACATTAAAATTCTGAACTTTTGTCCAGAAAAATACTAAAAACACCTTATTTTTTAAAAGGAGGATATAGCAATAAAACTTTGACTCTTACATTTTGGTGGCTGGGGAGACCAGCAGTGCTGAGCAACAGTGGACACATCAGCCTCCGAGGAGACCGACCACATTCCTAGGAGTGTAGCAGAATTCACCAGAACACAGAGTGCGGGCAAACTAGCTCCTCAGAGAGCCCAGGCAGCAGGGGTCAGAGGGTCAGAGGACTAGCAGCAACAGCAGCACAGAAGGGTTTGGCTGGGAAAGCTTGCTGAGCAGCTGGGGTACTGGAAGCTTAGTAGGCAGCATGGTGTGCAGGCAGCTACAAGGCCCAGAGCACTTCACAGAGTTCCAGTGTCTTCTTCCAGAATCCCATGGAATCCACTGGAAAACACTTCAAAGGGACCTGCGACGTTTTCTAATAAGAGCTAATAAAGGCAGCTGAGAATTCTCAGAGAGGAAACTCAGTGACAGCAGCTGCCTTAGAGAAACATGAGCTTCCCACTGCTCTCCTTAATACCATCTGACACCCCTCATGGAGGCAGAGCCTTCCAACCTCAGAGTGTAAGCTACAAATCAGCCAAACAGCTGACTAGATCTTTTACCCAGGGACTGACTATAATACACGGCCTTTAGGTACTAATTTTAAATAATACAGGTTAGGCATCCAAAAATCCAAAATCCTAAACACTGCAATATGAAATTTTGAAGTGCCATATTGATGAACTGAATTGGATTTGGGAGCATTTCCTTGGATTGCCCAATTACAGACGAGGACGAGCCGCTAGCAAAGTCTACATAGGGCAGTAAAATCAGCACAGTGAAAACTACACAGTCAAGCGCCAGACAACTTCTCCCCAGAAGCATCTCGTGTGCGTTCTCTCTCTCTCTCCCTCCCCCCCCCCCTCCAGCTTTAACCAACACTATCTGGGACATTAGAATTTAAAAAAAAAAAAAGGCTTTCCCAACTCCTAGAAAATATCCAAAATAACCAAAGTACAACACTGACATCTAGTGTTCCTTCTGATGAATCTGTGCAAAGGCAGCAATGAGCCACACTGTGAAAGGCAGAAAGAAGTCTTTCCATGATGCAAGCCATTGCAGCTCACTACTTGCTCAGAGTAATACAGGACGGACGGACGAACACACACATACACACACACACACACACACACACACACACAAACCTGTAAAAAGTCTATAGCAATATTTTATACAACCTGAACTCACCCTACCAATGAAAAGAATTCCAGAAGAATTTTGGAAAAGTGGTATTTTTGTTTTTCAGCACTTGAAAGCCTTTATTGGGGATGAGGAAAATCACATGCAGCAGACACACAGAAAAAGACAGGGAACACAGGAAGCCAAGAAATCCCTATTTTATTTTATTTTAGTTTTTTTAAGCTCAGATTCAGCAAGTGAGTCCAGCATTTGGTACTAACGGAAATAACATTCTGTATAAATAAATAAAAAATATAGCAATGTAGTAAGATCTGCCAACACACACACACGACATAATTTCCTTATAGGATACTTAAGAGCAATTATTATGAGAACTAGAACTAAATGAATAAACCAACAAACTCTTCATTTTCAACTGTATCCTGACACAGATTCTGCTAATTTTTCACTAACCAATCTTTGGCAGCAGAAAGTAAACACAGCTGTTTAACGCATGACTAGAAATCACTAGACATGTATAAAATTCTCTCCACGTCCTATATTACTTTTAAAAGTGACTACTGAGTTTTACTTTAAAATTATGAAAACAAGAAAGACCTGCAGAGGATGCTTACTGCAAATAATGACAAAAATTCCAAAAACGGCAATGCTCCACCGGTCACCACAAGATATCGCATACTTCAAATATGTCCAGCAGGACCGAGGAACTCAATTCTTCCGCTCTCACCACCTTAATGCAATATAATTGCAGACTGAAGAAGACTCGGGCGCTTCTCACCTCCTGCTTCTTCCAGACCCTCAGCAGCCACACAAACTTGTCTACCTACCAGTTCTTCAGCCCAGAGGACTAGAGGCTGGCAGCCAAGTAAGAGTTTTCCTCAGGACCAAGACAAACCGTTAAGAGCACGCACATCCCTCAGATATTGCTAGGCACTTCTGAATGAAGAACAAGGAAATAATGACACCCACCGCTACCTTTCTCTCACCAAAGAACTCAAGTTCAGCAGATAAAGAAATGTTTGATAAAAGCTGTGAGTGTTTAAGAGAAAAGAATGAATGCTGGTGACTGGTGGTTGTGGGGAAAGTCCCACACAGACAACACTGCTGTAAACCGTTCACCACTCACACAGGGCTGCTAGACACTTCGTTTCTTAGGTGTGCTGTTTTGCTATTTTAAGTAATTTTAACGAAAAAGACGGCTGTAGTTTGATGAAAGCACACGTTCTGCTAGGTTATTAGGTCTTAAATGCAGCTTTGTAGTTCATCAAAAATGAAGTGCTAGATTGTTATGAACTCCGGTGTGAGAAGCGGACAGATATTTTTTACACATGTAAGCAAGACAATTTAGGGGGTTTCACTGTCTAGAGAGACATTATATTTTTGGTTGTGAGCCTAGCCTTTAACGGCTGAGCCATCTCTCCAGCCCTAGAATGACATTACCACCCACCTTATGACACAGTCAAAGGACACTTTCTCTGAGGAAGTGTCTCTTCTCATCCTGGCTATGGAGGGAGGCCAAGGACTTGGTCACCTGGGTTGACTGGAGTAGAAGAGCTTTTCCCTAAGAGTACAAATAGCATTGTGCCTGAACCTCCTGTATTGACTCGACAATTTGAGTAATAAGTCAGTTAGTCCCACCTTCCTCAGCTAATAGTATCTGTTTTAATGTTTTGACCAAAGTTTAACAGAACTGATTTTTTAGGTTTTGTTGAAGAACCAAGTATATATTGTATTTGAAGCAATAAACTATCCACTTAATCTAGGCAGCTCAAGGAAAACTGTATAGGGATGTCATCCTCTCTCCCTCTTACAGCAGCTGACATTCATATATTGTTTAAGATGCATACTGTACCTGAGTCAAGCTGCATAAGGCTGAGGCAGGACGAATGTCAAGTCAAAGCCACGGTGCTAAAGGAGCAAACAGGCCCTCAAATGGACTACGTCGTCACTCTTCAAGTGAAAAAGTACAAATAACCCAAAACACAGAAAATATGCTTACCGTCTTTAGCCATGAAGGGAACACGAATCAAAACTACAATAAGATTCCATGTCACTCCAATCGGAATATCATCAAAAGACGCTGGCACTGGAGAGGCCAGAGGTGGGAGAAGACATGGTCTGACACAGGAGGACCTTCAGTTAGAAGCCTCTGTGACATGCTGCAAGTCTAGGCTCATGAGATCCAATCTAAAACTATCAGTAGAAATAAAATTAATAACACCTATAAAAATTAATATGAGGGTCCTTCAAAAAATTAAAAATTTTGCTTAAAAATTTTTAAAGCCATGACCATAAAAGGATGATTATTAATTCTCTACTGCTAGAGATGTTACATCCTAAATAAAAGCATGTATTTTAATAACAAAAATTAAACTGTGATTTAGTTACATGACTTCCAGCACTCCCCAGAGGAATCAACATCAGAGAGGAATGCACACACGTGTTTACCACAGTGCCACTCAGCCAAGTTCTGGTATCAGCCGAGGTGTCCATTGGTGGAAGAACAGAGATCTTTCCAATGTAGTGAATGAAAAAAAGTCTCCTGAGCACCACACATGCATCAGGTCTACGCTAAATCCTCAGATACTGCTGCTATCAAAGTCAACAATGTCTCCGTCTCAAGAGATCAGGAAGTTTTTGCAACACACCGTATTTCCTAAAAGTACAGCTTTCTACCTTTCTTGTACAGCATGTCAAAAGAAATCACAACCAGAAGATAAAAATGTACAGCTCAAGACACGCAAGCCACACCCGTGCTATCTGTGAGGCAATGCCACACAATTAAAAGAGGTTGCTTCAGATCCTCCCAGTAAGGTCCACCCTTCACCACTGTCATGCTCAGCTGAAAAGTCAAATATGTCTGATCCAGGTTCCTGACAGATGGGCCGGTTCAACTTAACCATGTGCCTGTAACCTGCTCACCACTCCTGAGGCCTCAGCCTTTATAGCTTTTCAGTTATTGTCATCTGAAATCTTGGCGAGAGTTCTATAAAAATCTTCCCAGAAAGACTGAATTCACAGGAGGAAAACAACCATTTCTTAGGTTAAATACCAAATTCCGAGTCACACCAAAGAAGGTGCATTAACCAATAACTACTTATTACCAAATTTATAAGATGAGGGCCCTTTATTATTCTTTACCACTGTCACAGAGATGGCTTAAATGCCAAAAGAGAACTCGATGGAGAGCAGTAAACTCAGAGGGAGAGCTCTTAGCTAGCACTCATGAGGTTTGATACCAAACATCACACACAGAAAAGACACAGAAAAGTTGGTTTTTTTTGGGGGGGGAGGGTAGAGGGTTAAGTACATTTTCTGCTCTTCAGAGGACCTGAGTTCGGTTCCCTGTAACTCCAGCTCCAAGGAATCTAATGCCTCTGGCCTCCATGTTTGTACACATAACCACATGTTGGCATACACACACATAAATAAAAATATTGAAAAAGCATGTAATTTAAAAATGAGAACGACAAATCTAAAGAAAGCGGAGCATTAAGCCATCAAGCGAACGTGACAAGGAACACAGTGATGTATTAGAAACATAAGGAGAAATATCCAGTGGCTCCGAGACTCAAGCCAACGATAAAGCAGGTGGACATGCAAGCGTTTGAAGAGTACTGTAGGCAGGACAAACAAAAGGCGGAGAAACTCCAGCATGCGGGTACGTCCCATGTGTCAAGCAACCAGTATGAACAGAAAACAGTAACTACCAAGCAGCAGAGAGGCAGATGAGAAGAGACCAGCCACGTCGTAAAAGTTGAAAATGCGGGAAGTTACTTTCGGATATGAAGCCATTCCCGATGACTGACATGAACAGACACACGTGGGATTGTGAGTTATCAGTTACTACACAGGAGCAGTAACTAGGGCGTAGGAAGCAAATGTCTGCTCTTCCTTCTAAACTCAGAAGCTGGTGACAACGCCGGAAGGTTAAACGCAACAGCTAGGGCAGACACATAATGGTGAAAGACCTCCCAAAGCACAGCTTCCTTTCACTCTCAAACTGGTACTTCTGTTTCTCTCCTTACCATTTACTCTTCTTCACTGAATACTATCTTGTCTCCAACTCCCAAAGGCTTCCTTCCATGCCCCCGCTACACTGTAATAGTATTTCTTCCGTCTTGGGGCTTTGTGCTCCTCGCTCTCTGAGCCTATCCCACCTCCGTTGCTTCAACTGTGAGCCTGCCTTTCCCGCTTTCCTCCTGTTAAGTTTCTCGTTGGCACAAGCAGTTCCTTCCATCTTAGCAAGAGCTGCCTGAGTGGAAACATAAAACTAAACATGACAGCAGGGCTCCTCACCCAACTTCACTCGTCCCACACACGCAACGCGAAGAAATGCAGCCCTTGCCTTGGGGAGTTCAGCCCGACCTTCTCAGCCGCCAAAGCTCCGCCCGACCGTGTTACCTTCCCCGTCAGAAGAGTCTTTGAGCTCATCTTCCAGATTCGAGATTTCAGCCTTGGCTACCAGCTTCATCTTTCGCTTCTTCTTCAAGGAACGCTTCAGCTTTTTCCCCGCGCTCACACGTGAGTCTTGAATGGTCGCAGCCATCTTGACCCGCCGGAAGTGCCGTCTGATAATTCAGTACGGGTTGCAACGAACGGAACTTCCTCCCCTAGTCCCGGTTTTAGAAAGTTCCGGAACACCGATGTCCAGCCTGAAGTTCCGGGGTTGGGACCTCGGGTGTAAACGGAGAAACGTCACAATCCACAGGTGTTCTCAGGCAAAGGCGAAGTCGGTTCCAGCTCTCACCCCTGCCCCACCGGCGGTCTGCTGAAGTCGGACACTATCCTGCCCGCCCCCCTTCCTGGCGGCTCCTCCAGCCCGCTCCGATTTCTCTCCCACTGGGCTCCCTGAGTTAGAAACCTCATTCCCAGTCTTGAGACCAGCCGTGAATGAATGAGTAACAATGCAATTACAGAATCAGAATCAGAAGGCAAATTTGACTTTCACGCGTTTAGGTTTTTTTGTTTTGTTTTGTTTTTTTGTTTTGTTTTGTTTTTTTTATGGACCAAGCATGTTCTAATAAGTGTTCCAAAGCTCAGTGCTGGCTCTTGATGTAGGTTGTTTTCTAATTTTCTGAGAACTCGCCATGCTGATTTCCAAAGTGGCTATATCAGTTTGTATTCCCACCAGCGATGCAGGAGTGTTCCTTTTACCCCACATCCTCTCCAGCATAAACTGTCATCAGTGTTTTTGATCTTGGCCATTCTTACAGGCCATTCTTGTAGGATCTCTTAAATCCCATCTTAATACATCCATTAAACTAAACTCAGTCTCCACCCTTTCTTCCAAAGTCTAAACTGTAAGGAATTTGTTTTGTGAGTTGTTGGATCTCTACCATATTCCAATCCCTACCCCAAAACTCACCAGTGTTATTAAAGGACTCATCACCTAAAATACATCCCAGCCCCTGCCTATAGTGAACTAGTACTCCATCCAGGTTTTCCTTCCTCAGCTTATGTTTTTTTTGCACCCAAATTTTCTTTTTAAAAAAAGAAAAGCAGGCTGGGTGGTGGTGGTGCATGCCTTTAATCCCAGAACTTGGGAGGCAGAGGCAGGCGAATCTCTGTAAATTCGAGGCCAACCTGGTCTCTTACAAGGGCTAGTTCCAGGACAGCTAGGACTGTAACACAAAGAGACCTTGTCTCAAAATGACAACAACAACCAAAAAAATCAAAAAACAAAAAAGAAAAGCAACAGAAATTATGAATCTTCATTTTGATGTATTTTGTTTGGTGCCTATGCAGGAAAAAAATACATATTTTAACTTACTGAATCCAGTTGGTACTGACTCTGCTCATGGACTGTAGCATGATTAATAAAAAACCCAGAGACAGATATTGGGGTCAGAAAAGCAAAACAACCAGCCATTGGCTCTTACCTCTACCTCAGTCTGAAATGGCGATCTTGCCTCCAGGAATCTCAGAATGAGACTGAATGAGAGCTGTCTCCTCCTGTTTTATAATCCTCTCTAGGACTGGGATTAAAGGCGTTCACTATTACTGCCCGGTTTCTGACAAACTAGGGTGGCTTCTGGAATTAAAGGTGTGTGTTACCACTGCCTGGTCTGTAATACTGACCAGTGGGGCTGTTTTACTCTTTGATCTTCAGGCAGGCTTTATTTATTAAAATACAAATGAAATGTATTTGTATTTTAATAATGGACAACCTACCTATAATGGACAACCTACCTACAATGGACAACCTACCTTCGGCCATAACCTTGAGGAAAAATGCCTCCCCACCCAGTCATCTGAAGGCAGGGCCTCATTAGTTCCTCCCCCATCCATGAACTGAACCCACTTCTTTTTTTATTTTAGTCTTTACGCAGTGTCTCACAAGTTTCCCAGACTGGCCTTGAATTAACTCTTTAGCTCAGGCGGGTCTTGATTTTTACTATGTTCAGCCTTTACAGTAGTTGGGGTTTCAAGCCTGTGCCATTCAACCCAGCTTTTACATAAATATAATAGTTTCTATTAAAGATTGTTTATAATATATATTATATTGTTATGGGCTTGGTTACAGTTTAAATTACTTGGAAGAGAAAAAATAATTGGTTACACATTCAAATTTTTCTTCATTAAGGCAATATAAAGTGGAATCCAGGTTTTGTGTGTGGAAATCTGATTATCAGAATTGGATATAGTGGGAAGTAGCTGTATTACTTCCTTTAATTTTCATAATAAACCAATGAGCTAGTTGCTATTACTATTTCTGTTTCATAGATGAGGAAACCAAAGCTGAAAAGAAGTAATTGTTCAAAATCACTCTGTCCCGGAGTCAGCTTGGCCATTGACCTGCACAGCCTACTTACATTGTTGCGTCTCAAGACTTAGAAAACATGAAATTTAAAAAAAAAAGAAAGCAATGAAAATTTCAGGTAGCACTGGAATTCACAAATTAGAAAAAAAAATTCTCTTATAATGAAAAGACTCAAGTAGAAATCCCCTGTCACTGGGACTACAAACCACTAAGGGTGGACCCCTTTAGTAGATGACCAACACATAACCAACTCAACGACATTTTTGGAGCTTTGTTTTTCTTTACAGCTCCTTTGTGTATATATTGTGGTTTCTAATTTTGTGCTTTCATGAGATTTCAGTGGATGTGGAGGTAAGTGTCTCTTCATCTATGTGTGTGTGGAGATGGGTGTCTCTTCATCTGCATGTGTGTGTGAAAGTGGGTGTCTCTTCATCTACATGTGTGTGTGAAGGTGGGTGTCTCTTCATCTGCATGTGTTTCTTGTGCTTTTTCTTTGGCTCTTTTTCTTCTGTTTGTTTGTTTTGTCCTATTTCGAAGAATTTGTTTTCATTTTCTCTCATTTTCTCATTATTTTTTAGATGACTGTTTTCTAATGAGAGAAAGAAAGAGTGTAGATTCGGGTAGGAGGAGAGGCAGGGAGGAGACAGGGGAGGAGAAACTGTAATCAGAATATATTGTATGAAAAAGTCTATTTTAAAAATATATTCTGTTCCAGAAACAGCTGGCATCATCTGAAGACTGAGATAAACAAATGTGTTCCGGTCATCAGTGATTGGCTCTGAGCATGCCTCCCCTGCCAGTGTGGACTCTCCCTCAGGAACCTAAGATCTCGGTCATGGTGTTGTATTACAGCAACAGATAATGAGAAACTAATATGGTGCTTCCTTTAAGGTTCTGAGATCCACTAAGGAGTAACTAGAACTCCACCTTCATAAGTCAGGTGATTTTATTTTTTTAAGGAAAAGTGAGCCGGTTGTGGTGGCGCACGCCGGTAGGATTTGCTGAAGGAGGCAGAGGCCACAAGTTCGAGGCCAGCCTGGGCTACACATTTTTGCTGGGCGATGGTGGCGCACGCCTTTAATCCCAGAACTCGGGAGGCAGAGGCAGGTGGATCTCTGTGAGTTCGAGACCAGCCTGGTCTACAGAGCTAGTTCCAGGACAGGCTCCAAAGCCACAGAGAAAACCTGCCTCGAAAAACCAAAAAAAAAAAAAAAAAAAAAAAAAAAAAGAAAAAAGAGCGAGCTATTTCTAAAGTCTGTATTTCAAATCCTGTTTGTAAATCTCCTTCCGAGTTCTCAAACTTTATTTTGTTTTCTTTCGGGAAACAAGGTCTCTGCACCCCAGACCGACCAACCTCAAGCTTTCTGAGTAGCCAAAGATGATCTTGAATGTCAGATTTAGAACTCTGATTTTCCTGCCTCTACCTCCCAAGAGGTGAGATCACAGGCCTCTGTGCGACACTATGCCCAGTGTATACAGTGCTGGGAGTGGAACCCAAGGCTTCATCCACGCTAGGTGGGGGTGCTCTACCAACTGAGCCAGACAAATTTCTTTTTACAAGAAACCAGGTTCCAAATCCTTTGAATCTTTACCAAGGATTACTTCCTATCATCATTAGTCTCTTTTTGTTGCTTTGGTTGTTTTTTAAAGATTCATTTAAGTTTTATTGTATGCATGTGTTTGTACACATGAGTATGGTGCCCTCAGAGGCCAGAGGATGGTGTTGGGATCCCTGTAGCTGGATTTATAGGCAGCAGTGAGCCACCCACATAGGTACTGGGAACTGAAGTCAGGAACAGTATTTGTTGTTGACCGTGAGCCGTCTCTGCTTACATCCCTGTAGTAATAAGGGCGGCGGGGCTGCGTCCCCAGCACCCTGGCTGCCTGCTCGGCTAGCTTTTGCCCCGAAATAACAACACACAAACTGTATTCATTTAAACACTGCTTGGCCCATTCTCTTCTAGGCTAATTCTCACATATTAATTTAGCCCATTTCTAATCATCTGTGTTGCACCCCTAGGTGCGCTTACCGGGAAGATTCTAGCCTATGTCCATCCTGGGTCAGAGCTTCATAGCGTGTGTCTGCCCAGGAACCAGGAGCATGGCGTCTCTCTCTCTGAGGCATCTGCTCCCGAGAGGAGAGATGTCGAGTCTGAGCTGACTTCCTCTTCCTCCCAGCGTTCTGTTCTGTTTACTCCTCCCACCTATCCTCTAACCAATAAAATGGGCCAAGGCAGTTCCTTTATTAGCCAATGACCTTCCTCCATCATTTCCCCTTTTTCGGTTTAAACAAAAAAAAAAAAGGCTTTAACTTTAACATAGCAAAATTACATATAACAAAACAGTTATCAAGTAAAAGTTACAATAATCTTTATCATAACTAAGGAAAACTATAACTATAACTAACTATTCTTAACTCCATCAAAGACTCCAGAAAGATACAATACTACCTAAGCAAACAAGAAAAAAGCAACTTTTAAAACTCTAGAAATGACAGAGACATCTCGCTGCCTGGACAGTTCTTTTGAACCATTGGGGCATCCATCTTCAGCCTACAGGCCCATGGTACCCAGCAGACATTTCCATGAAGCAGGAAAATTCAAAGTCAGTTCAGTCACTATCGGTTGTGTCCTGCAGAATGTCTCGCAGACTCTTTCATGAATCAGGAACCCCAAAAGATCATCTCACCTTAGGCAAGTAGTCCTCTCTCTGCGGGTTCTCTATGTCCAGTTTATGCAATAGTCCAGGCAAGAGCAGTTTCTTGCCCAAATGGCTATCAAACTCCATAAAGTGCCTCTTCGATGCCCATCTT